ACGTATGCTCCCGCATTTCAATTTTACAAACATAAAAATTAATTAAAAATAATTAGTATAATATTTTTTCAAATAATGATAATAAACAATAAGTATAATTAAAAAATTATAACAAAATTACATTATAACGAAAAATCGCACGAACTTCTAAATCAAATATAAGAAGATTGTCAGAATTATTACTCGTTGACGGAATTGTTGTATTAATTTATAAGAGAGGAGAGATGCAAAGAGATGTGAGAACCGGAGGTATTTATAAACATATAAGGTGTGATACATGCACCGCGTTATATGTAATTATTATATAGCGCGGATCATAGACCGCGTTAAATATAATTTTGGTATGACGTATAGCGCTGCCCGTGATCCGCGCTATACCCCTACGTGACGTATAGCGCGGAGCAGGGGACGCGCTATACCCCATGTGTAACACAGTCAGCGTATAGCGCGGTACAAGGGGCACGCTATACTCCACGTGACGTCAAATCAATATATAGCGCGGTTCAAGGGGCGCGCTTTACTGCTACGAGTTTTAGATCAAAAAATATAATCTAACCTATATTAGATCAATATATATTCCGATCACCGGTGATTTTTGAAGAAAATCGCCGGAAATATAGCATCGGTTTGTGAAAATAAAAAATAATAAATGAGAGAAAATCTTGAAGAGTCCAAATGAAATCTTTGCAAGGTGGAGAGTCAACGTAGAAGTGGGGCAGCAAAATACTCACCGACTCACCGTCAAAATCCGCGGAACCTTATGAAGACGCTGTCGTTTAACTCTGATAAATATCACATCAATACTAAGTATAAATTTGGTTTTTTTAAAATACAAATATTTTAAAAAATATATCAATTTTTTTATTAATCTTTGATGATAATAAAATAATATTTATTCAAAATGTATTTTAACCATTAACAATATAATTATTTGAATTCAGATTTTAGTAAACTAACACTTTCTCTTATAATCAAAATCACTCACTAAATTCAAATTAATTCTATAATAGACTCACATCTTGTACATTTTTTATAAGATTAAATATACAAAAGGTATCTAACGTATGTCCGTTTTTTCAGTTTAGTACCTAATATTTTTACGTTTCAGTTTGATGTCTAACGTTTCATTCCGTAACTCAAAATGGATCACGTCGTGACAGACCATTAAATTTGGCCGTTAACTCATTAAAAATGTCATGTGACATATTTTTTAATATTAAAAAATAATTTCTAAAAATAAAAATTAATTAAAATAAAAAATTAAACCTTATTAACTTTTTACCATTGTTTTGAAAACCGGACCGACCAGTTCAACCAGACCGACCAGTTCAACCGGGAACCGTGTGCTTTATTTTTAAAAAAAAAAAAATTAAACCAAACAACGTCGTTTGTTAAATGAGCCAAGTCGAACTCGAGTATTGCTGAGCTCGACTCGAACTTGAAAACTTTAAAAGTAAGCTCAACTCGACTCAAACTCACAAGCTAAAAATTTTCAAGTTCAACTCAAACTCGAAATATAATATTGAAACTTGAACTCAAAAAGGCTTGAACTAAAAAAAATTTAGAAGTTCGATTGAAGCCTAAAATTCGAGCTTGATTGAAGTGAAAGAATAGTTCACTCAATACTCACCAAAAGGCTCTATGATTTTAAATGCCAAATTACCTCTATTATTTATAGAAGTTAGTTGTGATGCTCTTCTATGTTTCTTAGCAATGTGGGATTGTTTTGTTCTCATATTTTTACTCTTTAGACTTTTGGGATGCTCTTCTATGTTTCTTAGCCATGTCGGATTGTTTTTTAAAAAAAAATTAAACCAAACAATATCATTTTGTTACAATTTTTTTAACCCCAATTTTATTTTTTAATTATAGTTATATAATTATATTTATTATTTAATATGTTTTACCTTAAATATTATGTTGTAGTTAATTTGAATCATTTTGTTTCACTTGATTTTATGGTTTTTAACTTATATATGTTATGATTTGCTTTGAATATGCCTTGTGATATAAAAAATTATTTTTTTATTAAATATTTTTGGTATTTTTATTTAATTTTTTAAATAATTATGGTGTCGTCCGGTTCTTCCGACCGGTAGGACCGATTCGACCGGTTGAACCAGTGAACCGATAGCATGACCGATTCGCTAACCGATCCGGTTCTGAAAACCATGCTTTTTACCCATTAACCCTATAACATTTTCCCTTATTCCCCTTTACTCTTTTCCCATTCCTTTTGGATAATCTGAAAATTTGCAATGAACCCTAATAAATTATTTTTATTGTTGTAATTGAGGAATACAAAATTTGTTACTACTGAAAGCAAACCAAAAATCGATTCCTTTTTATTTTTCAATCAAACCCATTAGAGCTAAGGAAGGAGAACTGTCGAAGAAGTGAAAATGTTGATCAAGGTCAAGTTCAAAGGTAAGTCTGAAAAAGAAGTTTATGTGTGATTTTGATTTTAATGGTAAGTATTTGCAATGGAAAACTCAGATTTTGCTTTGCAAAAATTGTTGTTCCTATTTTGAGCTCTAATTGAAGGACAAAGCTTTGAAGAAAAACAAAGGTTTCACAGAGAAAAAGAAAATCAGAAGCTATGGAAGGTAAAGCTACTCGTCTCGAATCAAAATTTAGAGATTTTTTTACATTTGTGTTAATTAATGTTTTCCCTTTGCGAGTTCACTGTAATATGTAAACAAACTTCGTGTATGGAGAAATGTTTGGGCAAAAACCTAACAATTTCTATAAATTTACTTTTTAGCCCCCGATGGGTTGTTGTTTGGTTGTTGAGAAAATGAAGAAACGTAAAATTCTAACTATGATTTTTGTTTGCAGCAAAAGTGTTATGATTTTCTTCTTGAATTGTAGTCTTGTTTGCTTTACATTATTTTTGTTTTTAAGTTTTATTTTTAATGATTTAATGTTATTTAGGGTACACTCATCCCACCACAACCTCCGACCCGACCCAAACTCCTTTCTCGTCCTGATAATTGAATTTGTCGTGAAGCTGAAAACCTTTCGCCTTACACGGAGTGAATCTCCGTCGTGGTTTGAGCTTTTCTCTTGTGGGTTGAATCAAAAATGGGTTTTCCATCGTTATAACATAACCATCTTCTTCAACGGAAAATCTTCGATTTCGTTGTTGATCATGAAAAACGTCGCTATTATTCATTTTTTCAGGAAAAAAGAGTGGAGCGAAAGAGAAATAATAAATGGATGTTTGAGCTGCAGAGAAGAGTGTTTCATTTAAGGAAAAATATATTAATTAAAATAGATTAATTAATTTCTTATTTTCAGAAATTATTTTTAATATTAAAAAATATTACAGGTGACATTTTTAATGGGTTAACGGCCAGACTATTTTGAGTTACAGAATGAAACGTTAGGCATCAAACTGAAACAAAAAAAACATTAGGCACTGAACTGAAAAAACAGACATACGTTGGACACCTTTTGTATATTTAAGCCTTTTTTATACCATCAAATATTTGGATCAACTAATATAAATCCTATTTGATATTTAAATAAAAAATATTAAAAATATATAATTTTTATTATCTTATTATAACTATTTAAAATAAATCTTAAATTTTTTTATATAAATTATTTTCATACAAAAACATGATAAAAATTTAATACAACTTGATTCATTTATCATAATAATATCATAAACAACTTTGATGATCAGGGATGAGTATGGAACAAGATTTCGACTAATATTTGAAAAAAATCCTCTTCATCGAAGTTTGATTGAATTTAACTTTAAGATGATTTCACCGATCCAAAATTTGACCTTTCCATTGAGATAAAATCTATATTTAACTCAACTCAATCTAATAAATATATATAATCAAGGAATGAGTCAGAATTAAATATTTATAGGGATTGAAATATTAGATTATTTAAAAAAATATAAAGACTTAGTAGGTATTTAATCTCGAAATTCAGCATGAATCAAACGACATTAGTGATTAAGAGATTGTTGTTATCCTTGAGGTCCGAGTTCAAGCATGCATGTAAGGGTATGAGCGTTCATTGTCATATAGTTGAAAGTTTTTGTACATATACTATCTTGTATTCACCCTAAATTTATATATAAAAAGACTCAAAACTCACAAGATAACTTCTCATTTGTCTATTATTTAAACTTATAATGAACTAAATTATAATTAAACGAAAAATTTGAGAACACATGCTTATCATTCTTTAGTTTGACCCCTACTTGATTAAATATTTAATAATTTTTTATATATATTTTTTTAAATTTAAATATCTATTTGTACATAAACCAAAATACAATTAAACTAAAATTATATTAAATATATAAATTTTAACAAGCCTGAGCTCCCTTAAGCCCTAAGGGAACTTTATCCTTGTATACAATTTTTAATTTTATTTAATAAATTAATGATCTAATTATTATATATAATATATTATATAATTATATCTAAATATATAAAATATAGTAATTATATCATTTTTTAATAAAATTAAGTTAAACTATATAATTTTATCTTAAATTCGAATTTAACCTAACCAAAATTTATTCTCTAAAAAATTTAACTCGACCCAAAACTTATATGACAGTTGGGATCACATCTCCATCCTAACTGAAGGCAGTGTATAGTTTACCTGCACCGCTTCGCAGGGAATCCAAAACCACTCCACCTCACTCGCCCGTGCACTTGTTTTGTTCCTTTGTTGATAAAAAAACGTAAAAAAAACGTTACTTGAAAAAGCCATTTGACCTCTCTCGCTCTCATCTGGAACAGTGCATTTTGAATTTTAAATTCTTCGCTCACCTTTTGATTTTTCCTTTTCTTCTCTACCACAGTTCCTTCATGTTCCGCTCCGTCTCTCTTTCTCTCTCCCCCAAATTTAGTATAAAAAAATAAACAACGCTAATAATGTTGCTTTAAATTAGGTAAGAATCTTCCACGTTTCTTCAAACTTCTATCTTATCCTATCGAATTTCAAAAACTAATGCAGTTTTTTGAAGTTTATAATGAAGAATTTCTTTTGATCCTTTGCTTCACAGGAGTTCGATAAGAATCCCGCTTCGTCTCTTTCAGCTGCCTTTCTGTGTTTTCCACTTCAGGTAACTTCTTCTGCTGCTGCTTTAACTCCATTTCCTCGTTTTTCTTCTTTGATTTTTACTTTCTCAAGCAATTTACGTCGTCGATTGCATAATAGAGTGAAGAAACTATTTTCGCTCTGTTTTTTCTTCTTATGTTTCTTAATTTTAGTTGTTATGAAGCAGTAGGGTAGAGGAGAGTGAATTTTATCCTATCAAATTCAAAAAACTAATGCAGTTTTTAATGAAGATTTTCATTTGATCCTTTGCTTCACAGGGGTTAGATAAGAATCCCGCTTCGTCGCTTTCAGCTGCCTTTCTGTGTTTTTCGCTTCAGGTAACTTCTTCTGCTGCTGCTTTAACTTCATTTCCTTGTTTTTCTTCTTTGATTTTTTCCTTCTCAATCAATTTTCGTCGTCAATTGCATAATAGAGTGAAGAAACTGTTTTCGCTCTGTTTTTTCTTCTTATGTTTCTTAATTTTAGTTGTTATGAACAGTCGGGTAGAGGAGAGTGAATTTTATCCTATCAAATTCAAAAAACTAATGCAGTTTTTTAATGAAGATTTTCCTTTGATCCTTTGCTTCACAGGAGTTAGATAAGAATCCCGCTTCGTCGCTTTCAGCTGCCTTTCTGTGTTTTCCACTTCAGGTAACTTCTTCTGCTGCTTTATTTTCATTCCTTGTTTTTCTTCTTTGATTTTTCCTTTCTCAAGCAATTTACGTCGTCAATTGCATAATAGAGTGAAGAAACTGTTTTCTCTCTGTTTTTCTCTTATGTTTCTTAGTTTTAGTTGTTATGAAGCAGTCGGGTGGAGGAGAGTGAATTTTATCATATCACATTCAAAAAACTAATGCAGTTTTTTTTAAGTTTTTAATGAAGATTTTCCTTTGATCCTTTGCTTCACAGGAGTTCGATAAGAATCTCTCTTAGTCCCTTTTAGCTGCCTTTCTGTGTTGTTCCACTTCAGGTACCTTCTTTTCGAATTTCAGTTTCTTGTTTTTCTTTTTTGATCTGTCGCTTCTCAAGCAATTTACGTCGTCAATTGCATTGTAGAGCGAAGAAACTGTTTTCTCTTATGTTTCTCAATTTTAATTTTTATGAAGTACAGTAGCGAAGAGTGATTTTTTCCACATGTGCTAGTAATGTCTCTGCTCAAATGCCGCGAGAAATATTTCCTTTTTTAAGTTTTAAGTTTAAAGCTACCTGATGAATTTTGGCTGAGCATGTCGTAAGAACCAAAAATAATTCGTTGAACTTTCAGTAGCTAATTAAAGTGCCTTCATAAAACGGCAAAAAGTAGCGTTTTGATAGTTGATTTGGGTTCTTTTATGGAATTTTCAAGTCTTGGTATTTCTTTTCCGGCTTTTCTGTACATTATTGCCACTGCAAATTACATCATATTTTTATTTATTACGGTAGATAGCCATAAGCTCATGTTCTATGCTTCATAGTTGAGAAATAATGGTTTTCTCTTTTTGTTTGCAAATAAATTGGAACTAATTTTTTTCGGGTAAATTTACTTGTTACAGTAACAGTTGAAAAGTCAAAATATTCAAAATGGAGCAGTATGAAATTCTAGAGCAGATTGGGAAAGGGTCTTTTGGTTCTGCTCTTCTTGTGAGGCATAAGCATGAAAAGAAGAAGTGAGTTTATTTGCACCTCAGTTTGGCTCTTCATGGTTCAAATTTCAAACGCTCACATATATGCTTGCGCATGCGCTCTTTTGTGTGGGTGATTAAATGCATGTATTGACTTATGCTACATTTGTTTTCATATTTGATCTTCATTGTGGGAATGTGTGGAATGAGGTGGTTTCTTTCCTGTTTATCATATCAACAATCAACATTTCCTACATTCTTCTTTTCCGTCAGATATGTCCTAAAGAAAATTCGCCTTGCTCGGCAGACTGATAGGGCTCGTAGATCTGCTCATCAGGAGGTCAGTTCTTTTATCGTGTTCCTATAATTCTTCTTATAACAATGTGAGGAAAAGTTTGATGTCACATTTGGCTTCTGAAGAATGGGAGCAAATTTGAAAGGAAAGATTGGCATCTTTTATACTCCAAAATTATACCCCATTGATCAAAGAAATAGTCTGGTGTTAAAATGCCCTTTTGATTCCCATGATGCAGATGGAGCTTATTTCTAAGGTGAAGAATCCTTTTATTGTGGAATATAAAGATTCCTGGGTAGAAAGGGTTAGTAAATATACTTTCCTTTTTCTTCTGCCTCATGCTCATTTGTTTCTTACTTTTGATTAATAATGAATTTTTCCGCTGAATGTTGTTTTGCTTATTTATTTTCCAGGGTTGCTATGTTTGCATAATTATAGGATACTGTGAAGGAGGAGATATGTAAGTTATTTTTGTTATTTAAGTGGGTATGTTGAAATTGTCTGGAAAATGGAAATTGCTTAAGGCTTGATTTGCTATTTTGCTGTCTTCTTACTTCTGCACATTGACATTGTTCATTATACAGGGCAGAAGCTATAAAAAGAGCCAATGGTGTGCATTTCTCTGAGGAGGTAGTAAAACTTTCAGCCAATTTTGCAAGGACTTAGCTATCTACAACAAAATGTAACCACTGTTCTTTTTCCCCTTCAATAAATTATACACAGAAACTTTGCAAGTGGCTAGTTCAGCTCCTAATGGCACTTGATTACTTGCATGCCAATCATATTCTTCATCGTGATGTCAAGGTCAGTGTTACTTCTTATTGAAGAATCTTCAGTTTAATGTTTGTGATTTTGGGCTTACGAATCTAAACTTTAATTTTGTTTCAGTGCTCAAATATTTTTTTGACAAAAGAACAAGACATACGTCTAGGTGATAAGTCCTTTTGTACCTAATTTTCATGATATAATTTGTTTATCATGTGTCAGTTTTTTCTGTGTTTAGCATTCTGTCTTTCAAATTTTGTGACTTTCCATGTTGTGCACCTATGCAGGTGATTTTGGTCTTGCTAAAATGTTGACTTCTGATGACCTTGCTTCATCTGTGAGTATCTAACAATGGTAATGTTTTTATATTGTTTCACCTTTCGCTTTATTTTAATAATACATCTTTTGCTCAACAGGTTGTGGGAACTCCTAGTTATATGTGCCCCGAGCTACTTGCGGATATACCTTATGGTTCTAAGTCAGACATTTGGTCTTTAGGTACCTTGCAATTATTGAAATTTTAGAAATATCTTAATTTGATTTCTATTCTCTATTTCTCTTCCTCCCGCCCTATCTCTATTTTACATAAATGTAATGTAATGTAATACATCTTTTCAGGATGCTGCCTGTATGAAATGACTGCTCACAAACCAGCATTTAAAGCATTTGTAAGTTTCTGATCTGCTATTAACTAGTAGTTTTACTCTTTAGTCTTTACCACTTCTTGGCAATTGGCATGGCCAAAATCGTAGCTCCGTAGTAGCATGCAATTTGATGGATTGGTTATCACAAACTATTCTTTCATTCAATTGTTCTTGAGGGACTTAAAGATGAGCATATCTAGTATTGATTCATGTGAAATGTGAAACTATTTTTTATGTTAATGCTGGTCTTAAAGGATTCTGTTATTGAACAGTTTAAAATCTTTCTTCGTTTACTTTTCTTTTTCCCTCCTCACTTTATGTTCTTGTGGTGCTATAATTTGATAATTCCAATTAAGAACTTCGGCTGGACAGCATTTTCCATATTCGGGAAGAAAATTGCAATGGTGGAAAATATAATCACTCCAGTAATATTATGCTCGATCATAGATCATAAGTTAGTGTGTTTAGTTGAATGGCTTATCATGCATTCTATGATAGAATCACTTTCAAATGGTCATCCATCCTTTTGGATTTGGTTAACCCTAATGGCTACCGTCTACTTCCATCTTCTTACCAGGATATGCAAGCTCTGATTAACAAAATAAATAGGTCTATAGTGGCTCCTTTACCTACCATGTACTCTGGTGCACTGTGAGTCTACTATCCTCTACATGTATACAAATGTCACTTCCTACATAAATTTAGCTTTTTAAAATATTACGAGTCTCATCATATTGCAAAAAATTTTGTAATCATTTTGGTTTCCATTTTTGTTGCACTCGGCCGTTATCAATAAAATTGATTACCAGTCTAATTTTTTCCCTTGCTTCAGTCGAGCACTTATAAAAAGCATGCTACGCAAGAATCCAGAACTTAGACCAAGTGTATGTTTCTTTTCCCTTCTCCTCTAATTTTGTCAAACTTATATTCTTACCTTTTTTTCCTATAAATGGAAATGCACGCAGGCTTCGGAGTTGCTCACTCACCCACATCTTCAGCCTTATGTTCTCAGAATTCATCAGATATTGAATAGCCCTCGATCTGGCAATTTCCCCACTCGGTGGTCAGATTCAAATTTCTTAAAGAAAACTAGATTTCTGGAGCAAGATGTCAAAGGCAGAAGGAAATCGTTCAGCAACGACAGAGCTTTGAACCCCAGTGTATCTGAAGCTGAACTAGACTCCTTTAGTTATGTTCAAAGAGAGCAAGATATTCCAAGTTATTTGTTTGAAAAATTCACGGAATTTTCTGTTAACATTGACGAATTCAATGAAGAGATTACAATTGACAAGTCAACAGCGACAATGTTTCCCACTAACGTGAAGACCCCAAGATTGACGCCTGCAGTGTCTGTCACTCAGAGGAAACATATAACACCAGCTAAGAAATCCCAGACTGGTCATCGACATGATCTGGTAATTTACATATTTATCAATATCTGTGTTAAATTGCGAAATTGATCTTCATTTCAATGAATGTTTATTTGCACGATGACGAATAATCGATGCATTTTTACTTAGCCTGCTAAAATGTGCAGGTTCCAATATCGAAAACTCCAGCAAGGAAATCATCCTACTCGTCTCGCCGAGAGTCTCTTCCATTGACAACAAGGACTGCAGCCTTGATGACCCCCTATAGAGCCAATGTTGGTTTGCTTCATAGGATCGACTCCCCAGATGTTTCTGTGAATGCCCCACTAATCGACAAAATCGCAGAATTCCCTTTAGCTTCTTCCGAGGGTCCCCTTTTACATGTTCATGGAACCTCATCGACATCGGCAAAGTGCTCTTCTTCATCAATGGAAAGTTCCAACCTTTCTATAATGAAGGACAAGTGTACAGTCCAAACTCTAGACAAAGTTGTAACAACATCCAACGGCAGTGATGAAAGCCTTGGAGTTGGACGAGATGGTGGTGAAGGCTTGGAAAATAATCGTGCAGCTGCAGCACGTCATTCATTTGAGTCGCGACAGAGACGGTTCGACACCTCATCGTACCGGCAGCGAGCAGAGGCATTAGAAGGGTTGCTCGAGTTCAGTGCAAGGCTCTTACAACATCAAAGGTACGATGAGCTCGGGGTGCTTTTGAAGCCATTTGGAACCGAGAAAGTGTCCCCTAGGGAAACTGCCATCTGGTTGGCTAAGAGCTTCAAGGAGACCCAAGTCTAAAGGTAAAATGCCCTATGCTTCGATGTGAGCAGGAGCCCCTCTTAACTCCAGCTGGTGTAATTGGTGATGTGGATTTGTGTTTGAGATATGCAGTTTCTGTGGAAAATTAGAGAAATGGAATTTTTCTGAAATTGTATGCATTGTATAATCAGACCCCCGGTTAATTTATTAAATAAATTTTGATATATATATTTATATAAAATATATCTTACTCCAAACGTGAGTAATAAAATTTAACAATTTATGAAAATCTGAATATATTTATATAGGAACATTTAATGAACTGTTTAAGATCGTTCAATCGAACGATGGCGCAATAGACATTGTTTCGCCTGTAACAATGGGATCAGATTAAACCTGAACATCAATTCTTGTTTTGTGCACACTGATCATCAAAAATTAAATACTTAATTATAGAATAAGAAACTAAATATATAATTATTTATAAAAAATTAAATATCATAATATATGTAACTAAAATAATAATGGACTTGACTGAATGGGTTGATTTCGTGGGTAATGGGTTATAACCAATTTCTATTGACCCCTATTGGACATAATGGACTTTTGATTGGACTTTTTGGGTCCCAATGTAAGGTGCATTAATTAGAGAAGGCCCGCAATAGAAATTCTCGAAACGGAATGACATATTGGCATTTTTTAATAATAATTTTGAAGTTTAAATTAAAATAATATTCTTATAAAACTTAATTATTTATTATTTTCGAAATCTAAAATACAATTAATTCTGGCTACATTCCTCCGGACAACGACGACTATCCTTTCTTCCTCCCTCGCCCTTGTTCGTCTTGGTTGTAAGTTTTTATTCCAATTAGAAATGAGAATTTGAATGGTATATTCGGATATTTGACGTGTGTTTTTCCATTCGGTTGTTATAAAATCAAATATTATATATATATATATATATATATAATAATTATTGATATTTGATCTATTAAATCATATCAATTTCCTTTTTTGGAAATATAAATAACGAATGATTGAAGGAAACGTAAGTGGGACGGAACTCATTCAAAATTTTGGGGGAAAACAAAGGTTGGTTCATCCAGCAAACCAAGCAAACTGGAATAAAGTATCTTTCTCTTTTGTGCAAGTTTTATTATTGACGGAATTGAAAGCGGTGTTCTAATAGATAATCGTATACGCTTTTAAATCATTTAACTTTGGCTATGTTTCTATTTTGGTCGTTTAATATTCAAAATTTTCAATATCACCAAAAAATTAAAATTATTCTTTATTCAGTCGCTCTACCATTAATTATTTAATATGACATAATTTTTAAATGTATGAAAAGGCCCCAGACTTTTCTTTTCGTTTCGTAAAAATTCCTTTGAAAATCATCTTTCCTTAAGTTTTAACCTAATTTTTTCGATTTCTCTTTGATATTTTTACACTAAAGCACCTTATTTCAAATTTCAATTGTATAAAGGTGGTGAAGGAGGAAACAAGTAAAAGCAATATATCTTGATTATATGTTGATCGAACAATGGAGATTATAGGTTGAAGTCATTTTACTCTGGTAATTAGGTTGAGTTTCGCTAGTTTTAAAGAGATTTTAAGAAAATCTAAACAAATAGAGTAGTAGGGGAGATGAGATGAATTTGTCAATGTCTGAAGTGGCCAGAGAGGACATCGAAGAACGACGATATTCACAGCAACACAATATGAGATTAAACTCTAAAAGATTCTTTTTCGTTAAGAACATAATGAAACTAAAAAAAGTGGACAATATGTGAGATTCGCGTCAACAAAAGTAGTACATGTCACCATGTTATTTTTCATTTAACGTTCGAGTGACCAAAACAATAACAATCTAAAAGTTTAGTAATAAATTGAAAACAATTAAAATTGGATGATCAAAATAAAAACATAATCAAACTTGAATTATGAGTGTTTGCAGTTAATATATTACTTAACTTTCAAATTACTCCTAATTTAATCACTCTAACTTTCAATTTTATTTTTCATTTTAATTATATATTAATAAAATAATAATAAAAATGTCACGTCACAAAAATTATTAATAAAATAAATTAGAGTGATTAAAACATAAGCTATTTGAAAGTTGAGTAGTTAAATTGAAAATTTTTAAACTTCATTGACCAAAATAGGAGTGAGAAGATGTTAAGTGATGAATGATGTAATTTACCTATAAAAATGTCATAATTCACTCATGTTTTAAACTGTAGATACTAAAATAAAACAAGAAATAAACGTTAAGTATGATTTTGAAATAGATGAAAGTTTAGGTACTAAAACAAAATAAAATTAATAATTTAAGTACTAAATGTTTAGTTTATCCTAAATAAAAATGTGACTAATTTTCTTAGAGAAAAGAAAAAAGAAAAGGAAAGATGAGATAGAGAAAAGGGTAATGTGTGTGTTTGTAAGCAAACTATGTAAGACAAAGATGATGACGTATCCACGCACGCCGATTTTAGCATTCCTTCAAGCTTCGATTTTTGTCGTTTCAGCTCTGGTTCACGGAACCATCTCAAACCCCCTATTGCTGATACCCTAACCCTAAATCACAAGAAAAAAAAGAACATAGAATAAACTATAGGGTACTATTTTTAATCACATGATTATGAAAAGTTATAAAACGATATTCTTCTTGTTATAGAGCGTTATTTTTTTAGTTCCATGATTATAAAATGTTATAAAATATTTTTTCGATTATAAAATGACGTTTATTAAGTCTCTCAACTATTAATAGTTATAAAATTATCACTTAACTATTCACATGTTTCAAATTCATCTTTTTTCGTTCAAAATTAATTGTCGTTTGAGTTAGACGTTAACTTGTTGACATAGATATAATAAAACTTGATCCAAAAACCGATTGAGTTATATTTTATGGATCAACTCCTTGTTTACATTATACCATCAAGTAAGTGCTTGAAATATTATACCGTCAAGCCAGTACTAGAAAACAATAGTAGTGCTAATATACATCATCAAATATAATTTTATCAAATCTTAGTCAGCAAGTTAACGTTTAGCTCAAACGAATGTCAAATTTTAACGAAAAAAGATAAGTTTTGAACATACAAATAGTCGGGTGACCATTTTATAACTTAAAAAAATACTCCGAAATAATCGGATTTTGAATATATAAATAATCAGATATCTTACAAATAAAAAAATTACTGAATTAAATTTAAATAGTTTACCCCAAAATTTTACTCGTATATTGTTTTCCGTGGAGGAGTGATGGATTGCTTTTTAGTCACATGCATCCATTCCTCATTATTTATCGAAGTAAGGGAGCATCTTTAGGTTCTTCTTTTTGGTTTTAGCCGCAGCCGTCTACTTAAACAATAAATCATTCTAAAAATGAGTTAAATTAGGTGATGAATTCTCTCCATGACACGTAGCTTTGACTAATTGACTTGCTTTTTTCCATCGTAATATTTAACCTTAGTGGGGAAAATGCCACTAGGAAGATAATGATTGATTTGGGTAATCAGTAATCTTATTATAATTAATTTTATAAAATTGCTTTATCTTTAGAATAAATTAAATTTAATCCTTAAACTTGATATTTTCTCAATCTAGTCCTAAACTTTTCCTCATTAGTTCTTAAACTTTATATTTATTCAATAATGTGACACTTGGCACTCTTAAAGCTCCATGTAACTAAAATATAAAATATTTCAAGTATGGAGACTAGTGTGGACTCAAGAATTTCACAATATCAAATTGAATGAAATTACTAAGTTTACGGATTGAGTTTTTTATCCTTTTTAATTAACTTATTTTAACCATTATTTTTTCTGGTAATTACTGGATTTTATAGTTTTATATGAATTATATAGGAAAAAAAGAGAAAGCAATGCTTACTTCTACAGTTAAAGTATTTTATTTTGACTTTATTTATAATATTATTTTTCATTATTTTATTTAAAATCAATATAAAATTATAAATAAAGTATGAAAAAAATCCTCAACTCATTTAAATTTTCAATTGTGCATTTGATATTGTTATGTCAATAAAATATTCACTATTGAATAATCATCCCAAAAAAAGTTTATTTAGAAAATTGAAACTTAGAGGTTTAAATTGTTAAAGTAAAAATTTTAAGAACGTAATTGAAAAAAAATATATAACCATTGAGATTTTTCTGCCTTTGTGCCTATATAAGAAAAAAAAAAAGAACACAAAGCCCAGTCCCATAGTTCTACTTTCCAACGTAGGCTTTCATGGAAGAAGCAAGTCCAAGGAGTCGTCGTCGGCCGGAGCACATTTCCCAGGATTCCCTCACCGGAAATCAGCTGCCAGAGAGCCCGAGAGGCCCGATGGAGTTTCTCTCGAGATCGTGGAGTGTTTCAGCTCTAGAAGTGTCCAAAGCCCTTGCTCCTTCTCCTCCTCATCATTATCATCATTCATTTAATAGCTCAGCTTCTAGTACAGCTCCCAAGTCCGCCACCAGCACCTCCTCGTGCACCATCGCATCTATACCGGAAGACACAAACGGCAAGACCGAGGAGCTCGATAAGGCGGCTGCAAAGGCAGCAGCCAACATGAACTCTCCTTCTCCTCATCCTCCGCTACTTCACAGCTCGTTCTTGAACGCATCATGTCACAATCGGTAATACAAACATACATACATATTCCATTTCTGTGTTTTGATGATTGATTTGTGCTATTACATATGCATAGGAAGTGTCGCCATTAACGTCGGGGAGGCTTTCTCACAGTAGTGGACCTTTTTTTAACGATAGTCCTCCGCCGGTTTCTCCGTGGGAGGAATTTGACGATGTCGTTATGGTATTGTCTATACTCCTCTCCTGTTTTATTATATATAAATATGCATAAAGAAAGCAAAAAGATGAAAGGAAATATTTGAATATGAAAACAATGAATAGACAGGCAAATATTTCAGCAATCTGTTGAAGAGGAACAGTATCAGTTGTCCCCCTACAGGCTCACTTTAGTATATAAAATGAATAGAAAATTGCAGAGAGGGAAACTTTGTCTTCTTCCAAGTTCCAATAACAACTCTTTATTAGTTTCCCTAGCAATCTGCTAAGTTTTTTTTTTTGTCTTATATCAGCTAAAGCTGCCTGTTTTCAGGCCTTAAAATCATATCATTTTATCAAATTCAACAAGTTCTAGTTATTATAATTTTTG